ATGCACATGGTAGGAATTTATTTGCAATATTTAAAAAGTAATAGGAGCACATTATATGAACTTTACTTCTTTTATATAAATATATGCACATATCATTCATTTACATAGTTGCATAACATTACTTTTTTTTTGAATGGCTCTAATTAACAATCCAGAATTAACAAGTCATTCTCAGATTTCCTTGTAAAAATTTGGGTATACAATGATGTATTATTGCCACCTATTTATAAAGGTATTTTTAAAGTTTACTTTACTTTTATCTTTATCTTCTATCTTTAACTTAAACACATTTTACTTTCAATTTACCTTTAAATAATTGCAAATAATATTAATTTTTCAACAAATGTATGTGATATTTCTTAAGTAAACCAATCGTCACCTTCATAATTTTTATAGTTGTTTTTCTATTATTCACTTTTCAGATTTCCTTCTAATATTCTGGATAGCAATAGTTGATTACATCTTTAATTACATTCTCAGTCCATATTTGAACTCACATAAAGAAGCAATTCAAATTTGATTATGTTAAAAGTACAAATACATATCCCTAAATATTTGTATGTGGTATAAATCTTTAGGATAATGTCTTCTAATTGGAAAAATCTATCCTTTATGTTATTCTTCTAGATCCCAGCTCTTTTTCATACTTTCAGGCAGTTAACCTATGTGAGACTATAAAAAAAACTAAAATTCATTTTTGACACACCTAGTGATCTATAATCCATGAGCAATGACCCATGATTAAAGCTCAAGCTTTATTGGATTTTGTAATTCACAAGCCTCCTATAAGTTTGCTCTTGGAATGACAAGTTCAGAAATAAGGAAGATCTTGAGCATGTGGACTGGACAAAGATATTAAGAGATTACAGGTAATAAAAAACAAAAAAAAATGGGAACTAGCTATGTTCTTACGTTCACCCTCAATCTCTTTAAGTCCTTGAGTGTTTAATAGAGTCTATCAAACTATTTGCACAGATAAAGGAAAATATATCTTTAAAATTTTACAGATTCTTTTTTAAAGGGGAATTATAACAAGCTATTAAAAATAAATTTTATTATTCTATTTAAAATTATCTATGCTCATCAAAGATGTTAAATAAGAGGAAGAGAACAGACCTTATTTTACATTGTCTGTTTACATATGGAAGGATTTTTAAACCTCTTTAAATTTATTGCGTTTATTTAAATGATCACAGAGAGATAGAGAGAGATTGTTGCTCCACCTATTAATGTATTCATTGGTTGCTTTTGTATGTGCTATGACCAGAGTTCAAACTTGGAAACTTGGTGTATGGAGAAGACCTTCTAACCTACTAACCTAGTAGGGTTTTCTCTCTCTCTCTCTCTCTCTCTCTCTCTCTCTCTTTTAAGATTAATTGTTCCTTTTCAAATAGAGTACATTCATATTTGCATTTTCTACTTTACATTAAGGAATAACTATTGAATATTATGTTACTTTGTTGGGTGACAGACTCCAGACAGACAGAGATTCTATAACAACAAATAGAGAACTTGAGCATTTGGCTACACAGTGCAAGAGCTGAGACAGCATATCCCCAGAAAGGGCAGTGTCTCCCAAGTTCACCCAGGGGGCCCCATGGAAGGGTAAGCTGTGGTGATGCTAGTTAGAGTGGAGTCTCTGCCAGGTATGAGGTGCTCTCTGAAGCTCTTATGGGGCTGTTTCTTGGCTCACAATCCTTCCTGACTGGCATGGAGACTCTGCAACACTGCCTTTTCCATATGGCCAGTGTCTCACAGCAAACATCCCTGACCCACATGAGTGCTCAGTGTGGGACACAGTAATGTTGAGGAATATATCTAAGGAAAGTCCTCCTGCAGATCCAAGCCTGGGTGTCTGACACCACTTCTGGGATGACACTGCAATGAGTGGGTATGCCACTGGTTAGCAATTCTTCCATTATTTGCTATTTGGGCTATTTCCAAAATGACCTATTATAAGTGGTAAAATGAGAAAAAACTTGTGTTAACTATTAGTCTTTACTGGAACTTATGCCTAGAAAATGCCTCATATTTGAGCAACTCAGTTTGGGAAGACATCATCTATATAATTGGTGTCCCATATCATCCTCATATCTTCATGGAATTTGAAATCTTCACAATTCAGATACAATTGCCTTATGTTTATGGATACATATAGTATTACTGTTCATAAAAATCAAATGAGCTGTATTTAGATAACTGAAAGATAATTTGATATTACAATCAATGTGATTAATTTATAACTAATTTTATATTTTTACTTTCTTTAATTTTCAGTTCTTAAAATAAATATACTTTTGATAAAATGATAAATTCATAATTATGAGTTCATATTCAATTTTAACTTTTGTTAGTTATATGCTATTGAGTAGAAATTGGAATCTATTGAATATTGAAGACTGTTGGCAACCATATTTATTTGTGGAATAATCTCATGCACTGGACACATAAATATATTAGAGAAATAAAAAAAGAAAACAGGAAGAACTTGGAGTTGTATTGCTATTAAGTCTGTGTAATGTCATTTAAATCATATCTAATGGTTTCTTAGGACTTGATGCCATCACCCTGACTCTATAAACAAATACAAGTTAAACAAAGACAAGTTAAAATGAATTAATTCTTAGTTCTGATTACAGATTATTCATTCCTCCTGACTTGTATTAGTGACAAGAGTTGAACATATGCTAAATAATACTGGTGTCAAAAAAGTCAAAATTCATATTTTCCACTTGTTAGCCCATAGGGACTCTCCAAAGAGAACATTTAACATTAGTTTATTCTTCAGAGAATATTGTCTGCAAGTCCTATGAACACATGCTCTGAATTGCCTAGGACACATAAAAATAGATAATAGAACTTAAACTCACTGGTCTGTAAGAAAAGAAAGGTAAACACGTGTGAATGATAAATTTTATTATGGTGAACTTAAAAAGTCAATTCTATATTAGGGACTTCCAGAATGACGTGTTCTATTTTTATTCTTTTTTGAATGAAAGTAATTACTGAATTTTCTGTTCTGTGCAAAGAACTGAGAATACTGGTGAAGGAGTGGATAAGCAATGCCTGAACATGCCCTCATCCTATCTAAAAGAAAAAAATGCTAATTGACTGTCACACCCTCACAAAGATGGCAGTGCCCAGTCCCCTCAGCCCTGCCAGGGCAGCAGGCATGCAGCACTATCGGGCCTGCCATGTGCACCAGCTTTTAAAGACAGGATGTTGGTTACTTTTGAGCAAAGACCTAAGGAAAAACAATCAGAATGAGCTCTACAAAGGTGACTGTTAACAAATTAAAGTAAATATGGAACTGGCTTTCTTGACTCTGTTGGCCAATTCTATAATAGTCACAGAGCAAACACTTTATAACAAAGCTGAAAATAAGCACTCTGCATTCCTATCTTACGAATGAGAAAGCTGAAGTTCCAAGAGAAACCTCAAGTGGACACAGTGAAATGTAAGACCAGAGTGTGAACCAAGGTGAGGAACAAAGCTACAAAGCAGGTCACAGGAATACAACCTGTGCTGTCTCTCAGGGAACACTCTTGGAAGCATTCAGTGGTGGATTTAATGCTCTGCTGTCACCATTTTGTGATTCCTTTTAAATATATATATATTTTATTGATTTCTTACAGAGAGAAAGGGAGACGGATAGAGAGTTAGAAACCAAGATACATGCCCTTGACAGAAATTGAACCTGGGACCTTTCAGTCTGCAGGCTGACGTTCTATCCATTGTGCTAAACCAGTTCGGGCTGATTCTTAATAAATGTGTCTTGGACCTGGGGTTGGTGAGTGAAGGGAACAATGGATCATGCACCTAAGCAGAAGGAGTGCACATAATGTGATTACCTGCCCTTCCCTTCACAAACAGCCTTTGAGAGGCCCCATATCCCAGATTTCCCATGGACCCATGGTAGTGAATGTTCTGTGAGACTCAAATGTGTACAAGATAAGCATGCTCTGTCTAAGACTAAGTAGATTGGTTGCTGACTACCCTGAGAGGCTACATCACTTTGTTTGAACCAGCTGCCTTTTGGGGAGCCTGGAAACAGCTTTAGCATGTGGGTAAGCAAGGAGATAGCAAATGGTTGGGAGTGACAGAGCACTAAGAATTGTCCCTAAGAAACTGGAAACATTGAAAGTCCTAAACTGATAACTTATAGCCAACGAGCCTCCTCAAATAGCAGCATGTTATTCTAGTAGAGATTCTGGGAAACACTCCTCCTTCTAGACAATATATTCATGTGCAGTCTGAAATCTGGGATGAGACTTCTGTGTACCTCAACTGAGAGGTTGTTGTGGGGTTATATGGGGACCACACACTGACAGACACCACCTCAGCCACCTCCATGTCTTCCTGAAATGTCTTATGGAGAAAGTTATAAAGCCTTAGGGGTTAGATAGATGTAAAATATATAAGTTGTATTCCTGGACGGGATGATATTTTAAACAGGTATTATTCTTTTATAACTTATTGGGGCGGGGGAAATGCACAAAATTTTCTATTTAACACTCACAAAATTAAGGAAGTCTAAAAGATCTTTATCTTCTTCGTCCACATTTGTTTAAATTGGATTTGAGGGCATATATGATCCTCATTGAAAATGTCTGGGCATAAGCAAAATTTCCAAGGAGAATTTCAGACTTGCAAGGTGGTGGACATGGTGACACCAAAGTCTAAGTCTCCAACATTAGGGCAACCCAGACAATATCTGGGTTACATATGAAACAAGCAGGCCATCTATTAAAGTAAATGTATATTAAAAGAGGAATTAGGAAACAGAAGGTGTAGGACAGAAGGAACTAAGAGAGGTGGAGGGAATTTTCTGGGCTGGTTGGAAGGAGGGGCTGTGGACACACTTTCTTGAAGGTGTACCTGCTTTCACTCTCAGAAACCCTTTGTGACTCCACAATGAGCTTTGAGGCAGGCCTGGCTATAAAGTCAGGAGTCTGGGCTCTCAGAGCTCAGTTGCTTCGAGCAGCATTGCGATTTGGAAAATGGATCTCAGTCTATTTCTGAATAGCCTCCTAGAGTTTTATCTGAGCTTCGGCTTAGAATATTTATATGACAATCTCAACATAATTTCCATCTTGGTGTTGAGCTTGTTCCTCTTCTTCTTTATTTTCTTCGTGGGAATTCCATCAATCCCAACCTTCTGGAAAAGTGAACGGACACAGAAGGTAAGGAACTCTGAGTTAGTGAGCCCCAACAGAGTTCTTTCTTCTTTCCATTGTGATTCCCACATTTCTAAATGAGTTTGATTTAAGTCAGAGAGACACCAAAGTTGGGACATCTGAGGAGAGAACAGAATATCACTCTTACCGGGAAGAAACCAGGTAGGGCTAGGGGTTCAGGAAAGACTCAGGATTCCATATGAAGCTCACAGACCATCTGGCTGTGGTGGCAGGTTTCTGGCTCCAAACATAGTGATTCCCTAGTTCTGGATCCAGTTATTTAGAGTCTTGGGGATCTTTGTAGAACATCAGAGTTAACCAGCACTTCATCCTGAGCCATGCTGCCCTGTCAGGCATCAATTGTCCAAGCCTTTGTGTTGGGCTTATGAGTGTTGAGCCTCTGAGAGCCTATGAGCACCATGTCAGGTTACTGGGTCCTTTCTGAGGGGACAGAGAAGCAACTGTAGGCCTCTGATTATATGCCTTCTTTGAGTAGAGGACCTCTGTGAATACCAAGTATGAACCTCAAAGACAAAATTGTTCTATACGTTTTTTAAAGAAAAAAAAATTAAACTATGTTAAAGCTTTAAAAAATGGTGAAATGAACACAAAATCCAATTAGTTAAAATGCCTTTTGCTCAGAGAGCCATTATTCTTAGATAGCAAATGCTGTTTCCTAGAGAGAGGGGGATATGAATGAAATAAAAATCCTTTTTATTCTCAACAGGAGGGCAGAGTCAAGAGGAGAAGGAAAGGTGGGACACGGGGAGGTAAGGTTCTGCCTATTCCACCTGAGCTCCCCAAGGGTGACCCTTCCTCTCCCTTTCCATGAGGTACCAGGTCCATGATCTCTATGTCACTTGGTAAATACAGTCGCTCTCATAAAACAGAGCATTTAGAGAGAGGCTCATGGAAATACAGAACCTGAGACACTTCTCAGATTCCCTGCTCTGCTGTCCCTGAGTAAGAAGCAATGAAGGACCCAGGCCATGGGTATTGCACAGTAGATGTTGAGAGTCAGAACTTCTGTATCCTGACTTTGAGAAAGTAGTTTGGCTTCAGGATGATCAGAATCTTCTTTGTTGTGATCATTGACCTCTCTACTTCACAGAGTGGTTTTGAGCATCAAATGAGATAATGTGCATGAAAGTACTTCATTAAGTAAGAAATACACACTGGAAACTTATTAATATATCATTGCCCATTTGACTTCATTGACGCATTCTTGGGGCTTTCAGAGTCTAATATCCCAATGTTCTCCCATTAAAGGACCCCAGAATATTAAAGTCTACCTTCATTACATGTCACTCATTCTCTTGGTTTCCCAGGTTCGAGATATTTTTATAACAAAGTGGAGGAGGAAAGGGAGCTGATTGCTTTCCTGAAAAGGTGACTCTTCTTTTATAATTTTTCCTGATCTTACTTTAGCCTGTTTTGTGTTATTCTAGGATTCACTAGAGCCTTCCCTAGTCATGAGAGGGGTTGGCATAGGAAAGTCAATCTGAGTGAATGCCTTGGTATGAATGCATTGTGAAGTCATGGATGTGGACCAAAATGTAGGGGCAGCAGGCTTCATGGGGCCCCACCCACAGTAGGCCAGTAGGTCCTCCTTTCCTTGTGGCTTTGGCTGTATCATTTTACCTCCTGTCTCCTGCAGCCCCCTGGGACGGAATCATGATTCCAATCACTTTCGTCAACTTTTATGTCCAGACCCCTCCTGTGACATATGTAACAATGCAACTGCTGAAATCAATCGACTTTTCTCAAAGGCTCTGGAAAGATCTACTCCTTCAGTGTCCCCTGTGGTATCCACAGCTCCCTTGAGAGCTCTGGAAAAGTCTACTCCATCAGTGTCCCCTGTGGTTTCCCCAGCTCCCATGACAGCTCTGGAAAGGTCTACTCCATCAGTGTCCCCTGTGGTTTCCACGACTCCCATGACAGAGCCTTCATTCCACCAGTCTTCTGCTCTCCCAGGAGTCCCTCTGACTCAACCTTCCCCAACACCACCCTCAGTTCTGCCCTTAAACTCAATGACCACCTTGGATAATTCCCTTTCACCCTCACCAATGTCTCAAACTCTGCCTAAAGAGCCTTCTTCTCACTCAGAATCTGAATTTCCAGTAAAGAAGTCCCCACCTCAAAGCAAAGACTTGTTCTCTTCAAACTTGACACAATATGATTTCCATCAAAAGTTGCCTGACATCCATTCTACAAAAAACTCTTCTGTGGAAGAGTCTGTAGCAAAACTTATAGATCCAACACAACTCTCCTTTCTCAGCCCTTATGGGCATGACTCAGTAGGGCAGAACTCACATCCTAAGACCTGGGAGGATGATTTAAAGAAAGAAGTTATCCAGCTTTTCTGGGGGCTTCCATCTCTGCACAGCGAGTCCTTGCTCTCTGCTGTGCATGCCTCCGGTTACTATCCAATCTTCAATAGCATCTCAAGTGCCTTTATAGGCCAAGGATCCTCAGGACTTCCCTATTTCCTACCTCCATCCTTGCCTAAGGTCCAACCTCAACTTCTGCCTCCAACTCTGCCTCTATGCCATTACTCACCTCTCACTCAACTCCAACCCCAGGTCCACCTTCAATCCCCACTCCCAATCCTACCAGCTGGTCTCATAGACCAGACTAGGGTCTGTGGAGTGTATTGCCAGACACCCCTGAATGAATCAGAAAGTCTCACCTCATCTGATATTGAAGAACTGAAATGGAATGTGTTAAAGAAGGAACAGGAAGGTTTGTGTAGTTTACCCTCTCTGGATCAAAGTTCTTGGGAAGCCTGCTGTTCTTCAGCTCCCGCCTCTCCTTACTATGGGCCCTGCAAGGCACATATTTCAATCTCCATTGATCATTTTGAGTATCCTCTCAGCATTGAGTTTAGAAAGAAATTTGAATGTCACCTTAAAAAGAGGCTCATCCAACACCGGTGGGGCCTGCTCCTCAGGATCCATGAGTCTCTGTCCCTCATGAAGCCTAGGTGTGAATACTCAAAAATATCCAACCCAGAATGCTGCTATGGCATCACAGGGATCCCTATATATAAGGCCAACGGTAGCAAAATTCTAAATGGAGTCACCCCATCAGCAGACTTCTATAAGCAGGGCTCAGAAATGTCTCAGCTGTCTGATAATGAGACAGACAGCTTAGCTAGTTATCCAAAAGGCTTGATGAGTGACTCAGACAGTACTTCAGATAAGAATGTGAGAAATGACGGTGATATGAGGAGTGTTGCAAGGCAGAGTGTAAGTCAGAGACAGCTGGACAATATTCAGAAAGTACATGTGAACAACAATTTTGAGGAAATCATGGAGAGTCACCTACCTGGTACTGTACATATTTCTCAACCCTATATCCAGCATACACTTACTGAGGAATCCAACAGGGAAATTAAACAGCGAAGTCTGCCACCATCAGTGGGTGGGGACTACTGTCTGAACAAGTGCCAGGAACCTTCCTTTCTTCCAGAGATACTGGAAGACCAGGATACCAACTTGCCTACGAAGACATTTGGAGACCTCCCTGCTAAAGCCCTTGAATTCTCAGAGGACTTCAAATCAAAAGGCACTACCTCTCATTCCTTGATCAATCCTCACTCTTCCTCCACAACCAAAGTGATTTCTGAGGTGAGCACTGAATCTGGAACTTTCACACTTCTGAAAGGAAGTTCTGAATCCCTTCACGGTGACCAAGTCAAAACAGAAAATTTAGCCCCTGTCTTGAATCTTCTGCTCTCTACCATCTCACTTATGAATAAAGAGGGAGAGGTGATTCCGCACAGACTTTCTGAAGATTTTCAGACAATTTTGGGAGGCCAATCACCTCCTTTGCCTGTCACAAACACCATCCATGGCAAAACAAATCAGAATCCTTCTCTGACAGGCAACATTCAACCTTCAAAGCTGCCTGCAAGGCAAGCAAATAGAGAATCTGCACCAAAGAATAAGAATCTAAATTTTACTGACAGAACTGAAATGACAGAGGCCGCAAATAGGGATGAAGCAGAACCTGCTTCCATGCCCACCAAGCCCAGGGAGATAGCCAGGGCTGAGGAGCTCTATGCTCTTCCGTCTGTGACAACCAGACAGCCAGGGATCTCCCAAAAGAAAACCAGACACCCCACTGTGACTACTGAAAACCCACCATCTAAAATATCAGATCCAGCTCCTAACTTATCACAACTTAGAAAGAAACTAATTGGTGAGTTGAACTTGAAGTTGGAGAGCAGGAAGCATAGCCAGGCCCAAGGCAAACCCAAGGACATGTCCAGTGACTCAGGTAGTTTTACTGACAAAGTGTCCCTGACTCCTGCCAAGTGTGTCCCCTGTGTGAGCAAGGTAGCTCACCAGGTGCTCCATGTCCATTCAGAGGACAGCACAGTCAGGATAGAGGAGCAGCAGGAATCTTGGCTTCCAAGGCATGCATTAAAGTCCTGCCAAAATCAGAATTTCCCACCAGGGTTAAAGAAAGATACTGTGTGCCCTCCCCCAAAGCCTACAGGCTCCAAATATAAAGAGCTTGGTGGAGGAGATGCTCGAGTGATAATTCCCCAACCTAAAGGGAAGAGATTTCCTCCTCAGGACACAGATGTAAAGGACATGCATGGAAGCCAGTCTTTCCACAGCCTGTCACAGAAGGGACAGGCTCCTCCGGATAGCCTTTTCCTAAATAAAATGAAGAGCCTTTTTCAAAGGCCTCATCCTTCCATCACAGGGACAATGCAAGAAACCACCCAGGAAATGGGAAGACACGTATCATCTGCACAGAGCAGAGGCCCAGTTAAGACCATGCAAATCCACAGAGTCATGTCTGACATTGCGAAGTGCCCAGAACAGAAACAGGGGCATAGGCAGGCAGGCGTTACCACCTTCCCTCAAGAGCCCCTTCCCTCTGCAGTGCAGTCGGGGCAACCTGTGCAGAAGGGAGCAGTGCAGGCCAGGGTAAAGTCCGTGCAGGGCTGTGATTTAAACTGTAGGGCTCCCTGCTCCAACGTGACAAATAAGAAGTCTGGCCTCCAAGCAGCTATCTCTGATGATCAGAGATCCACAGGTATTAGCCATTCCAGGAAGGATGAAAGATCCTGCTCAAAAGCAGTGACATTAAAGGACCAGCAAGTATGCCAGAAACACCCCCAATCTGTGTGTCTCAAGGGGACTGTGCCCCATCCAAGCCCCACCTGCAGGCCTCAAGCTGCCAAGGGGCCTCCTGCTGTTCCCATCACTACTAGAGGCACTGCTTTCAGACATCAGCCTCCAAGATTTAGGCACACAATGCTTTTCTATAATTTCCAGCGGGAAATATTTCCCGCCCCCAAATAATTCCTTCCTCCCTGGAGGGGAGTATTGGCTTGCCTAATAAATGTTTCTATAATAATAGTGATGTCTTCTCTGTGTCCTGAGTTGGGGGCATGGGTTTAGAGTTTCTCAGGGCTTGTGCTTAGGGAAAGAAAAAGTTCAGCTTCTACTGATGGCTTCCTTTGGCTTCCAAAAGCGCGCATTCCCTGGAGCTCTTGCTGAGAAACAGATATCATCTGTCCTCCCCCAAATCCACTTGCTGGCTGATGAGGTTTGAGTAGATGGGCTCTGTCTCCCACCATAGCTTAACCTTAAGGAACATGGAGAGCAGCCCACACCTTCCCCTTCAGGGAATGCTTTATGTCCTTTAAGGCAGTAGGGAACACAGGCCTTCCACATCTGAAGAAGATCAAGGATGGGTATATTTTTCAGAAAGTGTCAGTGAAGAGACAGTGGGTTCATCATTATTTAGAAGTCGGTGATCAGAGGATCCCACAGGTTGGTGAAGCCTGAACGGGAGTGTTGGGGGGATATTGCTGTGGTTGTTCTTGGGCTGGTTTGTATACGGCATAGACATTATTTAAAAGTCATGTGGGTCACATTGATGTTTTAGGGAAGCACACTAACATTTACACTGAAATAAGGTCACCTTGGCGAAGTGGTTCCTATCTCTGAGCTCTGGATCTTTCTTCAGGCTGAGGGATACTTTTTCCCCTAATGAAAATCATTACTCAGCTTATCAGTGATAACAATGTTAATCAGGCCACTACCTACCTCCCAGGCCAAATAAAACTGAAAGTAAGGGAAAGATGCCTTAGAGTGAGTGAGAAAGAATGAACAAATTAAGAGGGGAAAGAATAATCTTGCTAGTGAAACAAAGGTTTATGCCTCATCAGCCCTCTGTTGCTCCCATCTTTTCCTCTAAGTGACCTAAGCTCCACCTGCTGAGGCTGGTCAGAGCACCGCGCGGCACACTGAAGTCTTGTACTAAAAGGCATGGGGCTATTCCCTGAGCACTACAGCAGGGATGGCATCAGGCATGGCATCCTGTGTTTGGGAAAGTTGATCTTGGTGCCTTCCTTCCATCCATGCTTGATGGAAATATAGAGGGTCTTGCCTATTAGGATAGACATGCCACCTTTGATATGGTTTTGGTGAAGCTATAATGAATCTCCCCAGAACACCTATAGCTCATGAACCAGAGGAGAGTTCTAGACTATGCACAGGTGTTACAGTTATTTGAGGACTATCAAGGACCTCCATGGTATGGTTTTTTGGGGGAAGGGTGCAAATGTACACACATGTCCACCCTTACTATAGTGGTTTGGAGGGAAAGCAAATCCACTTGCACAGACTGAAACACGATAATGGAATGAGCGTCCTCATGAGCACTTCAGGGGCTCTTCAACCAAGCCTCTGAGTGTCAAGAGAAAAAAGCAAAACAACAACCAACAGCCAATGTCCACCAAAGGCCTCTCTCACTACCACACTGGAGACTTTTTGTTCAGAGTGAAGTCATTGGCCTTATAATATCAAAGGCTAGGTATCACAGAAACATACAGATTTTTATGAAAGTCCTATTTGGAACAAAGAGGTGGAATGGAGCCAAAGGCAGGGAACGTGAAGAGGTGAGCAGGCAGTAGAGGGCTGGAACATCCATATGACAAACACTCAATACTCCAGCCTTACAGTTCCTTTGTCATCTCATCTTAGGGTCCTTTACGTCCACCCCAGTGCTGCAGTTCCTCACACTGAGCTTATTACAGGAACATCTCTACCATCAGGAATAATACTATCGACCTTTGACCCTTTAGCCTCACCTCCTATCCTTCCAACATAGATTTCCATTGTTAATTTTTCAAATCCAGGTTCTTCACTTTTTCCACTCACTCCCTGTCAATCCATGAAGCTTTTGGCTTCTTTCCCCTTACTAAGGTAGACTAGATGGTCTATCTAGTGATTAACATTAGAAAGCTCCACTACAATTGGCCCCTTCTAGTTCCCTTTATTCCTTCTTGTCTGGCAAAATTTCAACTCTGTGTTTTCCTCAGAAATGTTTCCCTATAAGTAACTGATCACTACTAGATTATATCTCACTATTGATTCTAATAGTACCCCAGAACTGCCTAAAAGTCATTCATTCATTCCAAAAATAATGATCTTATGCTTACTAACATGTGAAGAAAACAAATGGTGCTTAGTTCCCTGTTTCCATAGGTCTAAAAATACTCCCAAATCTATTTCAAATCTCAATTTCCTCAAACTGAGGTCATCCCCACTTACTCAACAGATATGCAAGAAGCCACGAGAAGAGAACTTTTTACCAAAACACTTAAAAAGTAAATACACTTTCATATTTTCCTCTTTCTCTTTTCATATTTTCTATGGAAAGAGGTTTCCTTCCCACCTCAAAGGAATGACACTCTCTGAAATCACCTTATTGTGAGAGAGCTAAATTCCCATCTTGATGGACTGATGCTCCCTTGTCATGTGTAATTTTCTCCCCTCCCTCTCCTTATGAGGTAACCAACATCTGTTAATTTTTTAAAGCTTGTTAACACAGAAATGCTTACACATGAATAAGAGCAGGAAGAAAAATATATCTTCCCATGTAATCTCACTCAACTTTCACAATTATTTGGTAGGTTTAATACATCCCATTTTGACAATAAAGTGGAAAAGCCCATTGAAACATCTTGTCATCCATCTCTCAGACATATGCTATGTGCCCATGTCCAAGCTCCCCTTTTTCTTCCATATTCATCATGTGTGGAACAATGCACTTATGCACCACAGATGTAAACAGCATGGAGCTTTAGAGGCTTTGGCAATCAGTTCTGATCTGCCTTTTAGTCAGTGCTGAGGAGTCATTTGAGTGAATTCTTCTCTCAACTCCATACAAGAAGTAATCTTACAGAGTAAATCCAGTGCACAGCATTGCTGTTCCTTAACCACACAATAACTATACTGACATGCTAAATGAATAGAAGTAAAAAACTACAGAGTTGGCATTGCTATATGTGTCCTCAATATTTAGAAGAAAAAAATTTCCTGTCACCCATAAAAATGACTTAAACACAGTAGATCAGACTCACTTGCTTATCTGTTCCTTTCCAAAATGCAATTGAAAGGAAAATATTAGGTGGAAAGTTGCTCAAAATCATGTCATTAGAAATAACTGAAATAAAATCCACTATAAGATAGCAATAGACATACAATGGCTTAAATTAAAAAA